GCTGCCCAGATGGGGATCTGGTCTTTCAAGAAGTACTCGTTTTGTCTCTTCGTGTCATAGTCTTCTGAGGACTCTTCACCTGAATAATCTTCCTCTCCTGATGATTTCCTCTTTTTGAAACTTAAGGCTGTGACCACCAACATGTAAGCAAAATGGAATAGACCATCTCCAAGCATCATGGCAATTGCGATAAATACCCTATATCCTTGGATACCATGAAGACTTGACGCGGATAAGTGGTCAGAGTACCAGTCGCCTTTCTTCGCTTCGATCATAGGCCACATGATAGCCCACGATATAATGGCACCAATTAGCAACGAAACATTAACCATGTAGGGGCAGAGCATACCAACTCCAACATATGTTGAGGAGAAATCGAAATAGAACCTCTTGGCATAGGCATTGAAACCAAATGTAGGCAAGCTACCAAATCCGCAGCCATCTTCACGTGCAAATATCCACTGAACAGCCCCAAATATAAAGCTGAAGCCAAAGGATTTGAACAATGAACCAACTTGTTTCTTGGCCAGCTTTGCTCCTTTAGGAGTGTGGAAACAATTGATAAGGTAAGCAGTTGCAGTTCCACTCGGATATGTCAACTTGTACTTCATAATCATCAACTTTCTTAGTGCGACAATTGAGAAGAGACCAGCAAAGCTGACAACAAGAAGAAAGGGAAGCATCCAACTAATATCAAGCTTCTTAGTATTATTTGGGGTATTTCCTGCATCAGCCTGAGCTGCTATGAATGGACTCATTCCCAACATATAACTTGCTGTCCCGCTGCTAAAAGCAATGCCAGAAGAAGCAACAACGCACGTCTGGATGACGGTATTCTCTTGCCTAGTAAAAGGCTGCTTCAATTTTCCAAACTTCTCAATAACAGCAGTCCATGACCTAATCATAGCAAACCCCAAGAGCCCCGCGGCCACGTTAAGAGAAGGGATAACACCAGTCGTGAGATTCAGTTTGCAAACAATGAAGTTGAACACGATGCTCAGGATCAAACCAGTCACCATTGACCTCAACGTTATTTGCTTCTTCCACGGTGGTACTTCTTTATCCCTGAATGCATATTCTGTTGATTCATTATCTCCACTTTCCACGCCCATTGATAATTCACACACACACGCGCACTACTCTTTTTTTCTTCTTTCTTTGGGTTCTTTCAAATATGATTAAAAGGAAGAAAGAAAGATCAAAGTTTGTAGTATTTGATGATTTCTTCTTCTACTTAGTTGGTATATTTATAGCTGCAAGGGATGGCTTATTTTTTAACCAAAACCAAAATGGTTTAGGAGTAGTTTCTGTGGTCTTTCGTGAATTAACTCCCAAGGAGTAATCCTAAACCTACTAGGTAAAACTTCCAAGTTACTATCCTAAGCTAATTAGGACACTAAATACACAATGAAACAATTGGCGCTTAAAGTAGACGATCATATTCTTGTTATTCTTCAATTTAATTTAAAAGCAGTACTATCGTTCAAATTTTTAATACATCTACTTTTCCTCAACGTTCTTCCACCCCTATATTCCAATGGAGTAATAAATATTTCTTAGAATGTGAAATATTAATCTAATCCATTTATGATCAAACACAATGGCATATCTACTCTATGAGTTATGGGTGCTTAATTACACACTCATTACTTTTAGAGCCAAACATTACATATCTACTCTAAGATGCACAATTATTTCCCAAAAGTTAGTCAAATATCAAACATAGATAGGTGGGACCATGTTGTTATTTCACAAAGTCAAGTGAGTCCTAATTTTCATTTGCAACATTCTCCCCGACTTCCTTGTTTCTACTTATTTTTCTTCCTCTTGAGTACTTTGAGCCTTGTCTCTTCCTCTTCTTTCCTCCTTTTATGAAGAAACTCAATCAAGTTTTTAAGTGCAATGTCAACTTCATCTTCCTTCATCAGCTGCTCTGCAACCTCAGCTGGTGTCACTGCCGTATTTCCAATCAACTCCTCGATTTCTTCAAATAGTTGATGCTCTCTGATCCCAAGGTAATTGGAAGCAAGAAGCCTAAAGCCACAAGAAGTGCAATATGCCATATGAACGTGCACGTCCATTCGACCTGGTCGCAACAATGCAGGATCAAGCTTTTCGACGTGATTTGTTGTGAAAATTATGATTCTTTCGTCTCCACAACTTGACCACAAGCCATCAATGAAGTTCAGCAGACCAGACAATGTCACCTATAACAATAAAAGACAGAACAAAATCATATGGACATTCAGTATGAATTTAAGTTACGGTAGTTTTTTGAGAAAAATAATATCACGCTATGTTAAATGTGTTCATGGACTGAAAAAAGACCGACAAATTAGTATCATAGCGGATGATTTGATGAATGATTATGGAAATAGTGAATGGGGCGGAGCGGCCAGGTTGATTGGAACACTTGGACCAGTTGGAGAGCACATAGGAGGAAGCTTGTCCAAATGTAATTATTTTAAGAGTATTATCTTTAAGCTAGTATGAGCCCCCAGGGTGTTCAAAATCGAACCGAAATCAAAAATTGAACCGTAAAAATGACTTAATGGCTTATTGATAACGGGTGATCGATTTAACGGATGGGAAACAGATTGAAATTTTATTATTAACGGCTTATCGGTTTGGGAGCGGATTATTCAATTTTCTTATNCCGTCTCACAATCTCAACACACTTCTCAGAACCAGATCTCAGAACCCCAGTTACGAGCTTACGGCCATAGCCAGAGCAGCAGATGGTAAGTTTCTTTCTTCTCCTTTTCGAATCTCTACTTGATGGTTGAATCTTTAGTGGGATAGCATGCATATGCACATATCATGTTGCATCTTGCTGTTAATTTCTCTTTCCTCTTCTTATTTGGTGAAATTATGGGAAAATATATAGGAAACAACAGTCATGAAAGCAAAGAAAGCGAAATCTGGGAAATAAATTTTAAGAACACTAGATGAAGCAATTTCAAGTTGGAAGATATAGAAGAGTAGTGGAAGCAAACGGGAAATAGGTTGGAGAGCGATGCTATGTTTCTTTTTTGACTTATACGGAATTAATGTACAGTGTTCTGGTGGAGTGGGGTGACAAGGATACTTAGGAGCCAATAGAACTTGCAAGTTTTTTGAACTTTGAAGCTGCAGAAATTGAAGCACTGCTAGGGGTTAGCTACAACAGTTGTATTTTGGATGTCTCCAATTATTCTAGATTTTATGTCTAAGTTTTTATTTTATCTCTAGTTGTATTCTGGACTCATTTTGAGAGATGTAATTGCCATGTTAGGAAGTGTTAACTGTTATGTTAGCTGAAGCACCGTTAGGTATTTACTAATTACTAGTAACCGTATAACTTGAAGGACCAAAATAATCCTCTGTAATACAAATTGAACTAGGCCGATAAACCGGCCGATAAACCGCCCAATAATAGCTAAATCGATACCAATCCGCCCGATATCTTATCGGGTGGTTAACGGATTAATACATTTAAAAGCAGATAACCGATAAGCCGAGCCGTTAAGAGTAAATAACCGACCGATCCGTCCGATAAGCAGCCCTACCCCAAACCGTTTGGCTCTCGATATCCGCATGGTGCTACATAAATTGGGACGAAAGGAGTAATAACTTCGTGTTGAAGAATATAATTAACTAATTAAGAAAAGTGTGTTTTCAAATTCTTTCAACATTTAACAAAATGTGAAAGAAGCGGAATATTGTTTTTAAAGATTCTAACCTTGCTTTCTTCCTCATGAGAGTCATTAGAAGGAGCAGCTACACGGCTAGACAACTTTTCTTGCAAATCAATGGTAGCATCAATGTCTTCCACCACCAATATGGACTTATTAGCAGTGGCCACCAGCAGCCGCCGCAAGTCCGTATTCTTCTTCACCTCGGTCAACTCCAAATCATATATATCAAAGTTCAAATAATTAGCCATAGCAGCAATCAAACTAGATTTACCAGTACCTGGTGGACCATACAACAAATACCCTCTTTTCCATGCTTTCCCAACTTTCCTATAATACTCTTTCCTCTTCACAAACCTGTCCAAATCCTTCACAATCCTTTCCTTTTGTTCCACATCCATTGCCAGAGTCTCAAACGTAGCAGGATGATCAAGATTTACTGGCGTCCACACTGCACTTAGGTCATGCATATTCTCATAATCCACAGTGTGGATCTTTAGTGTCCTGATTTCTTGTTTTCGCAATTTTGCCTTGTTAATAATGTAGGGCAAGTAACATTCGAGGACAAAGTCGTTGTTTTTTCGGTGAAACGTGAGTTCATAGGATCTAACCTCGGATTTTAGAGTGGAGTTCATGTCACGCGGATTATAGAAATAATCTTTTGACTGAACTTGCCTACAAACCCATATCCACTTGAATTTCTGACCTTTGAAACAATCAGTAACTTCCTCGTTGCGTTCCATGCTCATATTGAAATTCTTTTCCTTCTCCGGTTTGCTGATTTTGAAGCGACGTGAGTTAGGAGAGAGCTTGGAGCCCAAGTAAATTTGTGCTGACTCGTATACTTCGTTGCTTACCATGCCATCAAATTCATCAATTACTATTGTTAGCTGATTTGAGAATTTAATAAAGAGGTTTCTTATCCCGAAAAAAAGATAGTCTTGGACTTCTGGAGGGAGGTTACCATCACCATTGCAGCAGCAGAGCCAACTGCTGATATTATGGTTTTGGCAATTGCCATATTTGATTCACCAGAAGTCGACATATTAATTGCTAAGAAATTGGGATAATGGGATTATTGTGAATTGAGCAAATTGATTGTAGATAGCTCCCTCTTCCCCTGTTTTGATTTTTATATATCTCTTGGAATAGGGGATTAAAATGGGAATAGAATCTTGAAAGGCAGCTAATGGATGATTAAATTAAAAAAGGTGCTTTTCCTTTTGACAAGTAATTAGGAACGTGCTAATTAATGAAATGTCGAAGGAAAGAAGATTGAAAAGCCAGAAAAAGTTTAAAGAAGATTGGAAAGCCCAAATATTGATTCTTTTGGTGTTTTTGTTTATTGCAAATCATTATATAGGAGTTTCCATGGAACTTCTTAAGGTGGAAATGCTTTATACCCAATCCCAGATATGAGTTCTTTGAAATATTAATAGTATACCTGGAACTTTTCGCGGCAATTTTGCTAGTTAATATATACTACATCTTTATAACTTGGTTATCGGGCCATCTTAGTTTGTTCTCTAACGTAGTTAAGTTTACCTTATGTTATGAGTAAGATAAGATTCGATCAGTTTGTTAGTAACAAGACCTTCATTAATTTGTACATAGTACACATTACATCTAAATGTTGTCTGAGATACACTTTCCTTTAACATCTAAGAATATCAAAGAATATAGAGAACTTCCCCAGATAATTGTTTCTCATGTGACCAAAGACAGTAGTTACAGTCTAATAGTTGCAACTTCATCATACATCATTTATGTACAGAGTTCAAATTCTAGCAAAAGAACTTTATAATATCATATATCTTCTTTTCTCCATAATTCATGTGACCAACCTCATGAAAAAACATTTAAGAAAAAAAATAGTACAACCATTCTCGATGGGACTCTTAGTAGTTAATCATAACATAGGTTGGCATGCTAGGTAGAAGTCGAAGAAAAAAAAGGTGAAAAAAAAGAAGAATTGCATAAAACAAAATTCCTATTTCACTTCAAAATGAAGTTTAACTATCAAGATCCATACTCATAAAGGTATCTTTCCGCAATTGCAGCATGAGTTGCTGCACCAATAGGCAATACATCTTCATCAATCATGAAATGAGGAGAGTGTCCTGTGTGATATGATCCTAATGTCTCATTCCTTATCCCTATATAGAAGAATGCTGCAGGTATCAGTTCAGAGTAGAAGGAGAAGTCCTCGGCTCCCATCATCGGTGGAACTACCTTAAAGTTCGTCGGACCAACCAAATCACCGGCGACCTTCTTCACATGTTCGTACATTCTGTCGTCGTTCACTGTCGGAGGATAGATTGTGTCCTTGTCTTCGAAAAACTCCACTGTTGCACTGCATCTGAACACACTAGCTTGTTCTGTGAATACCTGTTGTTAAAAGTCATGTAGAAATTAGTACAAGTCCTTGTGTCACTCTTTCCTTACTAGTTCATTTAAAAAAGAATAGTATCAATTTATATATTGAGAACAATTTAACTTTATTTTTCATTTATTCTTAATAGTATGGCTTTTATAGTAAGAAATTTGACCACAAGTTCCAAATATTTTTCTTTCTTAGACTTTGTGACATATCAAATTTTGCACATAAACTGAAGCGAATGGAGTACTACAAAGTATACCTTGTTGTAGGACCATGGAATATTTTAGCATGCACGTTTTTGGTATGTTTTCTTGTTCTACCGTAAAGGATTAGATCTTTTACAAAATTGGTGAAACGACTTGTCCTCCTTACATATGGTGCAGTATCCACATCTAGGAGTGGTTGATTTTATTTTTGCAATAGTAAAAGCTTTTGGTTCTAATTCACGAATCTATAATAGACCACATGGTGTGTAATTCGTCAATCAAATCTTGGCATTTTTTGAGGACATGACCAACATTGGGTCCTATAATATTGGCTAAAACAGAGTTATCTTGTGACTCGGCAAGATTTAGGATACGGAAAAGGCAAATATACCCTTGTAATATCATAAAAGGTTTAAATGTACCTCTCGTTATACTTTGAGTCCAAATATATCCTTATTGTTATACTTTGAGTCCAAATATACTCATATCGTTATACTATTAGTTCAAATATACATTTTTCAGTTAAATTTGTCCAAAGTGAACATTCAATCCTACGTGGCACTGACATTTGATGAGCCGCATGGCTTGCCACCTCAACACCCCTAACCCATTTTACCCCTCCTATTTTTTTTCCACCACTAAAATTTTCTTCCCCCAACCATTATTGCTACCATTGCCGCTACCATAAAAAATATTGTATTTCAAATTTTAGTCTTTTATATATGGATTAGGGGCGCTGAGGTGACATGTCATGTGGCATCCAACTCATCAAATATCAGTATCACGTAGGATTGAATGTCCACCTTGGACAAACTTAACAGAAAAGGGGTATATTTGAACCAATAGTATTACGGCAAGAATATATTTGAACCCAAAGTATAACGAAAGGTATATTTAAACTTTTTCTCATAGTATAAGGATATATTTGGCCCTTTGCCGTTTAGGATAAGTCCGGAGTCATGATTGAGCTGAAACTTTTGGGGTGAGATTTGTGAATGCACTCATGTTGGTCACAATATATCTACTATTACTAACCTCTCTTATTCTTCTAAGAAGCTGATAAAAGTTGGTGCTGGAGAAAGCCCTGAAAGTACCACTGAGAGTAACTGCTTCTGGTATCACATCAAACTTATCTCCGGCATTGAACGATGTCACCGACACCACCTAAAATGAATTCACAAAAAACAGAATGTCAAAAAAAAATCAGTTCTTGAAGCTGTTACAATTTTTGTTTATAATAGTGATGTATTAGCCATTTTACGCGCCCCTATTACTTCCCAATGGTATAGACACCAGGTAACTTCTAATTTTCCATCACATCTTAGCCGGATAAGAAAAAATTGACTAAAGTTTTTTTTGTTTCTGGTAAGATTTGAACCATGGTCTCCTAGAATTTTCACCAACTTCCTCGACGGTTATAGCCTTGGGTGCTGTGACTATTGTCTTTCTCTTTTCCTCAAAACGCTATGTGATTTCTCTTCATCATTCTCAAGCTAGACAAGCATAGTTACCCGGTGTCTTAGCTGACGGGCGGAAAGTAACAATTTTTGATAAGACGGTCGAGATGCACGCAAATTAGTCGGGACAACACCGACATGAAAAGAAACGATAAACTTAAAAGCTTGGTGATTACTAGTTAAGTAGCACACCTGAGAATCCAAGGGATTGGATTCGCGAGAAACAATACTTTGCAAGCTGATAACAGCAGCAGAAGCAGCAAGTACAGGGTCAATAGAGTGGTGGGGATTGCTTGCTTGGCCTGTCTTACCACTAATGACAGCTCTAAAAAAGCCACATCCAGCAAGAAGAGGCCCAGGTCTTGAACCAATTACACCAGTTGGATGCTGATGTGAAACATGAACAGCAAATATAGCCTCTACATTTTCTAAAGCTCCATTTTTTATCATCCTTTTTGCTCCATTCCCTGCTTCCTCTGCTGGCTGAAATATTAGAATCACTGTCCCCTGGTAAACATCAATAGCATAATTAGTTCAAGGACAACTACAGCTCTTAATACAAGGTTCTGAAGAAAATGGAAGAGGGGATTGCTATTAAGCACATTATTATTTTGCTGTTTCTCCCACACAGGAGCGGAGGTAGAACGCGAGATGCGGGTTCGGCCGAACCTAGTAGGTTTTGTTCAAATCATGTATTTATCTTAAGAAATTCATTGAATATGTTCAATTTATTAATTTAGAACTCAGTAACTAAAAGTATTGCAGTCCCTTGACTCCGCCTCTGGTCCCACATATCACATGTTGTAATTGATTATAGAAGTAGGCAACTTGACAATTGGAAAGAAATAATTGTATTTTTTTCTCTTTCTTTTTTCCTTTTCAGAATGTATGCTATTCTATACTTTTATAATTGCACTCAAGGAATGATTGTATTTATGCTAGCGTTCAAATTCAAGCAAAAACAAAAGAAGCTAAGCACATTTCTTCTTTTTTGTTTAAGTTTTGGCGGGCTATATTTGAAATTAATGCACCTAAGTTGGTTGAAATTCTATTGGAATTAATAAATGAGATAAGTATAAATGAAGTTTACATGATAAGATCATACGAGCGTCATTCTTTACAATAAAATCTCAATTGACGAAAATCTCCATCTTCTCATTAACAAACGACTAAAATATTCAATGCCATTCAGCATCAAAATGGAACGGATTTGATATCGGAGAGATAGTGGGCATCTCTATTATATTGGAAAGATAAAAGACAAGAAAACCTCTATAAACAAAGGCACTATAAAGGTGCTTTATCTTCCCATTTATTAAACCATTTGATCCTTACAAATTACAGGATTTTTGCCTCTTTTTTTCCCAAGGTCCTCAAGTGTTGAAAATGACTTGAAATAAATAAAAATGCATTTCATAATTCCATGGTCCCAATTACTCTCAATGAGTTGTTGGCTGTCATCCTCATCCTCAAGACCGCAACAAATACTCTTAGATAGCTTACCAAAAAGAAAAGGGAAATTTTTAAATATAAGATTTTATTTAAAAGCAGAATCTCGATATAATATACATACCTCTCATATATATATATTACTGCAATTACTTCTTTTTGTTTTTAGTTGACTTGGTCATGTAACTACCAGTCCAACTGTATGAACAAGCTATAATTTAATTGACATGGAACCAGTTCTCTCTCTCCTCTCTCAACTATTTTTAGTATAACATAGTGATAATCATAGTACTAAGTAAAGATACCTAAGATTAATCAAATACCAACTTGTTCGTGTTTCTAAACTAATTGACGCATAAAGGTTTAGGGGACATATTTGCACTTGAAAAGGCAACGAAAAGATGGGATCTTGGCCCCCGTCTCTGAGGGGAGGGAGGAATAGAAGGGGAATAAAAGACTGGTTGTGACTTATTATTTCATGACAATTCTCTTTCGTTCCAGTTCTTTTCTTTCAAACCAATTCAATTCTCTTTCGTTCCAGTTATTTTCTTTCAAACCAATTCAAAAAAGAAAAAAAATTTTGAACCACTTAACCACTAAGCTATGTTTTTGGGCACGGGCGGCCCAAGGGCAAGCCACTAAAGCAAAGGCTTTAGGCCACTAAATTTTGAGGCCCCCAAATTTTTCTTTTATTTTTCTACTCGTATTTGTATTGAGGCCCCAACTAATTTAGATTCGTACCGCGTAAGACTTAGTAAAAGAGAGAACACGTTTTAACAGGATTTTTTTTAACCACAGGACTCGAACCCAATATATTTAATTAAGGTAAGTTGGATCAAATACATCCCACAATAATCTTTAGAAGCAGGGTCTAAATATATTGGGTATGTTAAAATAAAAAATAAAATATTTTATAAAAATTCAAGATAACTTTTGATTTAGTAGTGATATAATCGTTTGAGCAAAAAATGGAGAAAGAGAATCACTCCCCCTAAACCCTTGTCGCGAATATAAAACTTTTCATTATTTAAATTTTACGAGTGACATCATTAGTGAGGTATCTATATGAATTTGGTTCTATTATCTAAGATCAACAATATCTTAGCAGAGACTAAATTATTTATAAAAAAAACTATTAACAACTGATGTTCGGCCAAAATTCTATACTTTTAGCACATTACTCGCCCTATATTTTGTTGATTTAAGCGAGTTATTGTGCGACAATTGCGCTAAATTGTGTTGTTCTATGTGTAGGAACATCGCAATGAATCATCGATGTTATGATAATTTTTTTTTTCCTTCTGAAAGGCCCCAAATTAAAAATTGGCTTTAGGCCACCAATCTTCTTGGGCCGCCCCCTGCTTTTGGGTTATATCAAAGGGATTCAAAACATAAAATATATAGGTAAAAACAGATTTTGCCTTATATATACAGTGTAATTTTTCGGCGAAGGGGGTTCGGGTCCGCCCCACTAAATCCGCCTCTGGTCAGAGGCGGAGTTAGGATTTGACCTCTATGAGTTCATCTTTTTAATTTTTTAGCTTTGAACTCATTATACTCATTAAGTTATGGGTACATATCTATTGTTTGTTGCAATTTTAGTAAATTTTATACATAAATTTAAACTATGAATCAAAAGTACTAAGTTCAGATGAACCAGCTCGTATCATAACATTAGATCCGCCCCTGCCTATGGTTTCTTCGTATATTCCAATATATGAATGATACTAAAATTTTCATTGAAATTTTGTAAGTTTAACAATGCAAAGACCACCCAAAACGCACTTGCAATGGAGAAAAAAAGTCAAAAGTAGAACTAAAAGAATCCAATGTAATTACCTTCAGCCTGGCAAAAAGCTCTAAAAGAACCATCACAAAGTAGATACTCTGCTTATATTTGAAGTATTATAACTATAACTAATGTTGTTCGTACGAAGTGCCCAACTCTAAAAAGTATCAAAAAACTAAATGCAGATCACTAGATTTACCATTTAGCCAAAAAGTTTAGGTGCTATTCTCATTATTGCAAATAAAATAGCCCCAGATACTCAATTACCCACGACCAATTAAAAAACAAACAATCGGAGCTTGGTGCTCCAATATTCTCCAAATATTATGCCCAAAATCATGGAAACCACTATATGGAGGACAAAAGAATATTTTAAGCAGTCACAAGAACAACGTTTTCTTCTTCTTTGAGTCACAAGAATAAACTTGATTTGATAGTCCACACTTGGTTTATTCTTTAGACCAGGTCCTTTAAAAAAAAATTGGGGGAATTAATAAAGAGAATAACATTATATGACTAGAAATGAAAAGATATTTTTAAGGAGAAAAAAAAAAAATAAAGAGTAGTTTTCCTGAAGAAAATAAAAAATATAAGAATAAATAAACTGTAGGTGAAAATTTTAAAATTCAAAATATGCCCCTAAAATTTGAGTAACATTTCTCTGAATGATGTTTATTATAAAACATACCTTTAAGTTCTTCTCACGAGCCTTTAAAATCTTGGCTGCACCTATGAGCATAGCCACATGAGCGTCGTGACCACAAGCGTGCATTTTGCCCGCAATTTTGCTCTTGTGCTCCCATTCAACAGCTTCCTGTATTGGGATATAACAAAAATATAAATGAAGATTTGCAACAATTTTAAAATTTAAACAAAACAAAGTATGTAAGAAAATAAAATAAAAACCATAATGGGTGTGGTCCTTATTTAAAGATAAATATTTTCTATTTGTTGTACTAATAAATTATCACGTGTTTAAACATAAATGTAAGACTCGGTCAGAAAAGCAGCAGCTGACGTCAGATATAAGTGAGACAAAAAAAAATGATACTTAGTAAAAAAAATTATAATTATTTTTAAATATAAGTAAGACACGTGCTGTAAAAATATATAAAAATATAAAAATGTGACATTGTTGTGAAACGTGAACAAGACACGTATCTTAGAAGTAGAATGGAAGATAAAGATTGGCACTTTTCTCAAAATAGATATGAGAAACTATGCCCCACATATAAATCAAAAAAATAATTAGAGTAATAGATTTTCAAGCTAATAATTTCAATATTCAGTGGTAAATATCATATTCTAAGGACCATGTTCTTTCATATTTTTTTCTCACTTAATTAAACTGTTAATTTTATCAGATTAACAAGTAAAGAAAAAACGAGTAGCCCAAGGATAGAAAGTTTTCTATTTTCAATTTTCTAGTAACATTTGGAAATTAGGAAATGGAAGAAAACAAAAATAAGAAATAAAAATTTTAAAAAATTAAAATAGAAACCTGAATTGGAAGGGCATCCATATCAGCTCTGAGAGCAACAAACGGCGGCTGGCCGGAGCCGATCATGGCTCGAATTCCGGTAGTAGCTAACGGAAACTGATAAGGAATCTCCATTTTCTCAAGTTCTTGACGAACCAGTTCACTAGTTTCATATTCTTCAAAAGCAAGTTCAGGGTATTCATGTATTTTTCTCCTCACTGATTTTATCCATTTCACATGCTCTTTCTTCTGGGCAATTTTCAGAATTTCATTTGAGCATTCTTTTGTCCAAATTGAGCAGTCCGAGGAGGTAAAAAGTTTGAGTTTTGATGTTCTTGTTTGGTTTTGAAGGACCATATTATTGGGATTTTTTAATAAAGTAATGGATTTGAAGTATGTGAAATCATGTTGATCAGAGGAAGAGGAAGCAGAGGTTTTTGCTCCCTTTAATGGATTAGTTAAAATGAAACCAAGAAATATGGCAAAAAAAATTGCTTTTTTACAAGTTATTGGAAATAACTTCACTAGGGTATCCATTTTGATGGAAGAAAGATAGAGATATGAAGATTCAAGAGAGATAATAAGAAGATGAAAGTTTGTGTTTGAGAAATGAATCAATGGAGATTAGATAAAAGTAATTTAGTAGAGTGAGTATATGTGTGGGAAAGAGAGAGTGATAACTAGGGGCACATGCGAACTCTAATACTTTTGACGTATTTTTTTTTCTTTTTGAAGGTATAAAGATATTTTTGAAGTTGAATATAATTTTTTGCGTAAATACTTATAAAATTTCTATAAATAACAAATTTGAATGCATAATTTGCCATTTTATGTGTTAACAAACTTAACTTATTAGTCCGTTTTAAAAACAATGATATATTTTTATAATTGAAATTAATTTAATTTTAAACTTTTTATTTTATCTTAATGATAAACTTTTATAATCACACAAATATTATTAGCTCACAAAACTTTTACCCCTTAAACTATTAAAAATATAAATTTTAAAAAAAAAAATTAAACTCTATATGAAATAATCTGTCGAACTAAAAACCGCGAGTGAATGGGAGGTGGGGTAGGAGAGGGACAGAGGCCACAAGGGGAATAGGAACAACACGTGGTGATATATAATACTATAAGAGAAAGTAAAAGGAGTTTAGTGAATTGAGTCACGTGGTGGAATTGATTGCGTAAATAGCCATAACTACAAAAGTCTAAAAGAGAAAGGACCCACCAATTTGTCCTCTCATTGAATTCGGCTACGAGTGTGGTCTGTGGTGGGATTAGGCATAGGTACTTGGCAAAAGATGGGTGGAGGAAAATTGAAGACAGAAATATACGATAAGTATTTCTTTCCAAAATAAGTATAAACACGTGGTACGGTTTCCATGCTTCGTTTTAAAGGAAAAGGGAAAGAATTATTAATACTAATTTAATAAAATCATGTATTTACCAAAAAAAAGTTTATTTTTTATATTTAAAAACTCTTTAAATTTAAACTAGTCATTTATAGAAATGTCATAGTATGTCAAAATACCACGAGGGTTACATTTGTATGTATAAAAGATCTTTCTACTTTCTTTTAAAATTAGAGGGAGTAACTTTTTTTTAATTAAAAATATATAAAAAATTGTGATAAAGAAAAATATTTGACTTTCTAAATAATATTAATGTCTGATAAAGTCAGAACCGATGAAATTAAATTGAACTCAAGAATGACATAGGGGATAGGCGTTTGAATGTTGCATTTAGTTAATTTCAACGAGACACGTAGAAGTTTTGATATGTTTGGAAGATATTTCAGAAATTGAAAGGGTTAAAATAACAAATTCGCCTATATAGAACCGTATTTTGTGGGCTTTAGGAAGTAGAAATGACAACATGTAGACGCTTTTAATATTCCTATTTAAATATATTTATTTTTAAAAAATTAATATAGAATTTACTTAGTGTTGACAAATTTAAGACTGCTCAGTGCTCATTGTCCATTCAAAACCATACTTCGAGAATCCATAAGTTGATGACTCTCACATATGACATATGAACTACAGCCGAGAATTATCTTGTTGTAGTTGTCTAATCGATCGAATCATATACATTAGCTTGTATGATTTTTTTTAGTCTGTACATAAAAATTAATATTATTTTTATATTTAAAAATTTAATTTTAGACTCCTTATTTTATCTTTAATAATATAATTTATAACTAATGTTTATAGTTTTTTCAGATCAAATTTTTTTTAATGTTTTGCGTCCAATCAAAACTACCACGTAAAACAAGACAACAGGGTTGTAAATGAATGTACAGTTGTTGAAGTTGAGCTTTTACCAACACAAAGTAGACCACGTGTTGAAATAATGCGATATAGAGTAGGGTGTATGTGCAAATCCCGTTGTTTCAATAAAGTAGAGGCCAAATACATGCGGAGGCACTTTAATTTGTCCGAATTTTTTGTTTAGACACTTAAACTTCGGTCGGTACCTATTGAACACCAAAACTATTTTAAAAATATTCCAATTAGACATATTTTGCTGACATGACAAAATGTGTATTTTTCACTCTCTTAAAGCGCGTTTAGTATCTCAAAAAATAGTAAACTCATTTTTTTCTTTTTTCTTTCTCTTTTTCTTTTTTCATATTTTTTCTTTTACTCTGGTTTTGCCTGAAGGTCGGCCTACCTTGCCAGAAATTTTCATGGCCGGCCCGGAAGCAAGCCCGCTTCTCCCTTCTCCGCCAAGAACACTCCAAAAAAATATTAGATCTGGTTTTCCCAATCCCACCCAATTGTAACACCACCATCAGCTAAAGTTTTCCTTGTAAATTTGATAATAGAAAACCAGAGTCAAAATCGATTGCTGGATATGTGTACTGAAATCAGAAATTTGCATTTGTTATGGGAGTTGGTGAGACGATTAAGGTAAGAGAAATTTAAAGATTTGAAATTGTCAAGCAGAAACTTATTTGAAATTCAGAATAGCTAAGTAGAGACATTTTCCTTATTTATCTATCCTCTTTACATATTTTATAAGCATTGTTTTTTCTCTGTTAATGGAGCTTCCACCTGGGTTAGTGATGGTTGCATCAAGATCTCCTCTATATCAATTCTAGTTCCCAATTTCTGCTAATAACTTCGTTTTAATACTACAGCAACTAATTCTTCATGTGTTTAAGCTGCAAAAAGCTCATGCAAATTTAAGAAAACGTTACTGGAAAAATTGAAAGGAAATATCGGAAGAGAGAAAGAGAGTTTTGTTTGGGGGATGGTAGCTATAATGGAGTTTTTTATTTTCCCCTCAAAACTTTTTTTCCTAATTTTTTGGGATCAAATTCCAAGTGTCTCTGTCTCATTGGTTTGTTTTGCCAGGTCAATTGCATTTGAAATGCACGCACTTTATTTTTTGGCTATCTCAGCAAAATATTTCTAATTAATACACTTTTGGAGGACTTTAGGTGTTCAATAGGTACTAGCCCGAGTTCAAGTGTCTAAATAAAAATTTTGGACAAGTTTAGGTGTCCGCGTATATATTTGGCCTAAAGTAGACTCATCTTCGGCACAACCAAACATCCTCCCCTAACGAGTCTGGAACCAAAGTGTGATTCTTTTGGACTCAAACGATAAAAATAGGTGCAAAAAAATTGACTATCATTTTATATATAGCGCAGTTATTCACCGCGCTATACCTTAACGACATGTTTGTCCGTTAAGGTATAGCGCGCTGAATAACCGCGCTATACTTGAACTTTCCTACCCCACAATTAATTCAGCTGCACTTTACTGACCTACCAATAATTCATATGGGTATAGCGCACGTAGTATGCGTGCTACATATATAGCGCCTAATATGCATGTGTTATACATGAAATAATTATACCCCTACTGCGTAAAGGTCTTGCCTGCAATCAACAATGGAGCAGACGGGGTCACCTGCGAAATCCCTGGCATAAGCTGAAAGCTGAATGACGACATATCACGAGGAGCATCGTGTGGCTCAGGGTGAACACATGGTTGATCATCTCTAATACCCTCCACGGGTGCCTCAACGCCCCCTTGCTGGGGACCCCGTCCTCGCCGACTACCACAACCTCGTGGGCTAGCCCTTCCTCTTTGGCCACGTCTGCCACGTCTATCACGTTCAGGCTCTACTAGTGGCCCATGATGGTACTCCTTGGGCGGCATATAAGCAGCCTCGTATCCTAAGAGCCCATCCTCTCGGACACTTCTCAATGTGTTGGCAGCAAGATCAGTAACTCAACGGCCAAAGACGTGCAAAGCTGACGCTCCCTCGCCTATATGCTGCAGCATCTGCAGTCCCAGCTGGTAGAATTTATGTAAGCCAATAGTATGCATAACATTTAAATATTAATTACGGAAGAATAATGTAACGTTATAAGTATGTATAACAATTAACATACTGGTGCCACATGCCTCCCGACGTATGGAATGTACCGACTACCTGCGCGATGAACGGGATTCCTGATTAGAAGTCGGGTAACTCTGCGATACCAACCCATGTACTCATGCTCGCCATCCATACGATTATGTGGAAGGTATGGTGGAATCAGGTCACACCTTTGGTCCCAAACATCAATCTCGAACTCTAGCCATGCCATGTATGTCTGGTTAACCCTGCAACGATCATCCCGCTGGTAATGTGTCTCGTGCCAAGTGGGCGGAATAGGTACAAGCTGCGGGCAACCAAACTGACGAAGGACTCGCTCTGTGGCATGATGCTTGACTATGGCAAGACATATCAGTGGGGCGAAAGAGCTCAACATAGCTCGGCCACGGGAGCAATAATCGGGCAAACTAGCTATGAGTGCGTCGGTTTATGGCCTCCATACGAACTATTTATTAAACACAAGAATCATGAGTAAATGCAACACATATAAATCCAGGCCAAGTAAACTTAAGTATATATGTGCCTGCGCGCCTTTAAGTAAATCCAACAAATCCCTGTAATAATGGAGATGGTGTCGAGCCTCGACCTCGTGTGCGTAGCCTCTCCTATCAACCCACCGCCAAGCTAAAGGGAGAAACAGTGGAGGTGGTGCATCTGGTGCGATCGGTGGTAGAGGTGGATGGAACTGCAGGAACCGCTCCCAGGCCCAAACCTAATATAGATTGTGGACGTAAAATTTAAGTTATATTTTTACTATGTATGTTATAATCATGAAAAGAGTTGACTATGTTTTCACCTGCAGCAGCGGTAAAAATCCGGCAACGTTTCTCTGGGTGCCCATGCACGCCCGACATATCTGTATATACAGGTAACCTAGAATAGCTATAACCAGGTAAATCATCTAGCTACTCCAGATGATGTAGAAATCTCAAACTGACTAGGTTTTCCGAAGTGTTTGGGAACAATACACCACCAAACATCAACAACAACAATAATCTCGTGTGTCGGTCGAAATCCTCTGACGGTGAATCATCCGCAATATCCATATCCATCACCGCCAGATGCTGCCGTACGGGTGTCAGCTATAATTGACTAGCCCCACTCAATGCAGTCGGCTCTGCTGGCTGGAAACCGGTGAGATTCTGCAACATATGTAGGTAATCCACTCCCCTATAGTTTCTAAGAGCATGCGAGTAAGCTACAGGTAATCCATCGACATGCAGCCCAAAAATAACCTCTACGTCCTCAAGCGTGATAATAGCCTCGCCGATGGGTAGATGAAACGT